TAATCCCTGCATTTAACTTCCCTGGTCATGGGGAATTCACATACTAATCCAGCTCTTTAAGAATCTTTTACAACGCTAAGTCTGACAGAAGGATGCAACTTGAACAAATATTATATAAACAGATTTGTGAATAGGCACAGTATATAACAAACAAAATGTTTACAGGACACCAAGATATTACAGGATGTTGTCATAACCCATTTAAAAGCAAACATGGCAACCACAATCATTCAAACTGCAAAATAAATTTTGTTCACCTGCAGTTAGATCCCTTATACAAGATCTCTGAAAAGGGAAGCGTTAGTATAATTAAACAACTCATGAGCTTGACATTAATTCAAGTAATTCATTACAGGTCATCCAATTACTGTGTTCTAATGTTGTTAAGATATTAAAGTTTAAATTAATTTTGATAAAGCAATGTGTTTGCTGCATAAAATGTTAATGCACTATTCAGCCTAGGAAATACATCTGTACATTAAAAAAAAAAAAGAAAGAAAGAAATTTCCACCAAATACTTTTGCATAATGGACCCTTTTGTAGTCTATACTGTAAACACAGAGAATGTAAGAAATAGTCTGGTTTACCAAAGAATATTTATACAAAAATATTTTAATGCTAAATATATTTATACAAACAATATGGAAACCGATTAACCAAAACTGTCAACATATCTTTGTAACATACCAAGAACTGCCATCAAAAACACTGCTTTTCAAAGTTGCTTACAAAAACAGATCTACAAATGCTATTGCATTAAATTTTTTAAAAATCCTATATGAATGCAAATGCAATCTAGAAAACAAAATTCTCCGAGTGACTGAAAAAAAAATTCTGCAAACCACTAGAGTATCTATCGAGCAAATAATACATTCTGCCAAAGCATGTGTACAGTAGATAGCTTTAATTAAAGTATGTTTTTAAATAATCACTTACAAGACTTGGTCACATTTTATTCTCAATTCAAATTTTTATTTAGAATTAAAATTTATAGTTTTAAAATTATACACATTCTGTATAAAAGTTTAAAAAAATACATTGATTTATTGATAAATGTGTCAGATTAAATTTACATTTAAAACAATATTGTATTGCATATTTTAACACTTATAACAAAAATAAATTAATGAGAATGAATAAATCATTTGAAACCATGCTAAGATATTCCTTTAGAAAAAGGTAGTAAAATTGTACCCTAATTCTCAATGCCATTCTACTGCAAATAAATAATTATAAAACCTGGCAATATATAGAAGTATGTACTAGCTAAAAGCACTTACTACAGGGCAATAGGAAAGATATGGAAGGATGCGGACATAGTGAAAAGAAACAAGAAAATTAAATCCTATACTGCTAGTTGATTAAGACTGGATGTTTGAATTCCCAGTAAAAATGCTGTGACCTATAAAAGAAAAACAATGGGTTTGTGCCCTTTTGCTTGTGATGATGTTACAAAGGTGGCTTGGGATTTAAAAAAAAATTAAACAAAATTCTCAGCTTTTTTTATTTTAGAAATTCAGTTGCCTGCCATGGAAGACTCTAGCTGATGGGAGGTATGACTATATTATGAGATCACAGATACCAAGGAAATGAAATCTGATTGAGAGGGGGATGTGATTTTCATTCTGACTGTTTAAAACTCTTGATTTTGTTTGTTTCAGTTAACACCTATTTAATTAAAACACTGATGGGGGGTGTGTGTGTGTCACACGACTGCCTTTCATAGGTATTTATCACCTCCAAGTTCCCAATGAACATCTGAATCATGCAAGATGACTTCCAAAGGCATTAAAGATTTAACACTCTGCTATTTCTAAGATAAAAGAAAAAGCACACACCCCCTCCCCAAATAACAGCTTTAAAACCCAAAACCCTTTCAGACCTTCTTCATACATCAGAAAGGATTAAAAAAAATAAATAGCACAATCCTTTCCATCCCCCTTCTTTGCTTGAAGGGCACCTTTAAAGGGAACAGACAGGTTCACTGGAAACACTTAGGAAATGCTGGAATACTACTTAAAACTAAACTGGATGGTTTCTTAATGTAGTTAATAGTCAACAGCTGTGAACTGAAGCACAACATGTGACACAAGGTCATTTATATTAATCATTCACTATGTCCTCTCTCTCGGCACATATTTCTGTGCGTAAAATCAAATGCTACATTGCTCAAGCGAATCCTTATTTTGGCATCACAATGTGGAGCTTTTTAGAAACGGTTTCCTTATCTAATTCAGATTTCCCGCTTCCCAATATAACTATACAAACATGTACATAAATATATACAAACAAGGTTAGAAAAATATTTAACTTTTGCAGGTTTAAATAATTACTGAAAAGTGTTAATACAGGAATACAATAATATTTTGTACAGCTAAACTTTTATAGATGTATAAAAAGCATTTTTTCATAGCAGCCTTTGCATTGCAAATGAAAAGGTGACATAGATGGTAGAATGGGATCTACCTAAAGTTCATGCTGCAAATCACAGGCCAAGAAACACTAATCCTCTACTAAGAGGAATGTCCGTACCAGGTATAAAGTTTCAGGAACGAAGAGTGCTGTTGCTACACAGAGCAGACAAAGATGGCACCTTATCTCCTGTCACATACTGTCCAAGCTTCATAAGTGCATAGTACCTTGACGGGGTGAGGGGGGAAATCACTTCTTCCTAACATCATTTCGCATAGTCTAAAAGGCCAACTTAAACCACAGAGGGTGAGGCCAATGTATTCTTCTAATGAGAAGAAAAATTATCCACAATAATGGATTGGCTAAATTGGATTTGTTTATCGAAGGGAGGCCACAGATTATTCCACAATGCATTAGAAAAACCAGACAGACAGACTTTTTTGAGGAGGCGGGTGGAGGAACAGGGAGGTATCAACAGCAGGTATCATGCAAGAAAATTAATAAGTGATATTTAGTTTGTTTTTGTTGAGTTCCCGCTCCAAGTTTCCTATCAGAGTATCTATACTTTCTTGCAGGTCTTTGAGGTTTACTCTGTGGTCCACTGCTGAATCTATTGTTTGCATTGTCAAATAGGTCTGAAATGTATGCTCTTTAGACATGGATTTTGCGTGTTCAATCAGTCTATCTGGTCCATCTACTTTGCTGCAATCTTCCCCACTTTCTGTATCTTCTGAAGGAACATCATCATAGTCTGCTTCATTTAGGGTCTCCTTTGGATTCAAAAAGTAGTTTTCCCCACAACTGCTCCAGTCTCCTGCATAGCGATTACTTGAGGGACTGTCTAATCTGGCTGGTCTGGGCCTAAGTACACCTGACATTTCAGTACTGCTCAAATTCAACATCTGAGGCCGCTGCTTCTTGGGTCTCAGATAATTCAAAGACGACTGGTTCCCTGGAAACATGTTTGAGTATGTTGATTCTTTGGCAGTTGAACATTGCACTAGAACAAAGAAGAAGTTTAATGAAAATCATAACAATCATACTGCTAGTAGAGACCAGCAACGAAAGGTTGTCCATTTATTTCACTCTACTTTACATACTCAAAACATGCATTAATACATGCAAACTTATGGCCAACACATTCCACTATTATTTTTTTCTGCCATTGTCTGACATCACTTAGATTAAAAGGAAAATCTAGTGGAAGGTCCAGTTTTGAAGATTCATGCCATATTTAGTCCACAACTGAAAAAGTCTATTTAAAAACAGAAAACTTCCAGAGCATTGATTAACTCACGCAGTTGAGTTAATCACCATCTAGCTATGGTCAAATAAAAGCAAACAGCTTAGCTCACAGGCCTCTTCCAAACTAAATGGTGCAACAAAACACAGGCACAGCATGTAGAGGTTAAAAACACAATAAAAATACCACTTCGAGAAACACCTAGAGAAGCTGAAGGCACATCAGAGTTGAACTCTTGCATTTCTCTTTTGTCCGAAGTTTTATGCACTACCAATAGAAGCTCTTTTGTATTAATTTATCTAAGCAGCCATAATTCCATGTCAAAGATAAAATACACTCAAACAGGTTTGACGGTTTGTTACCTGAACTCATGATTACACAGCATAAGTTACTAAGACTCCTCCTCTGTTATCGGCTTCCTATGGTAAACAGTACAAATATTTTTACTGACCCATGCCTCCTAAATATCTGAACTTCTTTCTGCTGTGCAGTGGACTATTACCTCTTGAAATTAAACAAGCAGGTTATGCATTCTCTTTCACCGCTAGAAATGTAGCATACACAAATACCTTGAGATCAGGAAGATTCCAACTCGGTCTCTTTTTAATTAATGTCCTCTATATTTAAGCATAAGAACGGCCATATTGGGTCAGACCAAAGGTCCATCCTGCCCAGTATCCTGTCTACCAACAGTGGCCAATGCCAGGTGCACCAGAGGGAGTGAACCTAACAGGTAATGATCAAGTGATATCTCTCCTGCCATCCATCTCCACCCTCTGACAAACAGAGGCTAGGGACACATAAAGGTCTCAGTCCTAGGAGGTCTCAAATGTTCTCCTCTCTGGACCCATAACTGGTCTCTATGCAAGACATTAGTCTCATTTTAGGTATACCACAGTAATCTTCAATAACTTTTTTGGCTTTTTGTTTTATTTTAAATTAACAAAAGTCTTTCTGTTTGGACTTTGCTCCATTAAGATGAAGCGTCCATGGGTTAACAATAACTTGCCAGCTTTACACACTCCCACTGAACAAGGACCATTTGTTTTCACTTGGAAAAATAAGGAAATTGAAGTATTGCACAACAACATGTTTATTATCAAATTTGCTAAATCTACAGGAAGATTAAGCTTAAGAGACTAGACTGTGCTCTTTCCTTCTTGAGTCAAATTTTTTTTTACCCTCAGAAGAATGATTTACATTTAAGCATTCATATTTTACTTTAATTTCACTGTAGTCATTGTTCTGCACAATTCTTGTAAACCAAAGGTACTGTACATTATTGGTTCAAATCCCACCTTAATTTGCAACTAGAAATACAACCCACAGTTTTCATTTCTGTAGGCTGAATTAGCCAAACCTATAGCAGGCAGCTCCAGTATTAGTCAATGACTGTTGAGCCGTTATGCTAAAGCACATCCATGATGAAACAGGTGTACATTTGTTACATCTTGAAGGAATGGGAATCCTGGCCCCCCAAGTGTGGAGGCAGTGCCATGACATGATCATTGTCCGACCAGAAGAATATGGAAGATCAAGCACTGCCATTTATCTTTTTGATAAGCAGCTGTTCCAGTTCTTCTGATGGGGACATCCCCTCAGGCCCTTTGACTGGCTTCATAAGATCGCTGTGACAGTCAGAAGTAACACTGGCTCCCCACAAAGTGCTGGTCTAACGTCTGAGAATATCTGACTGGCAGTGAGCATTAGAAATTTCAATATCCAAAACAAAACAACCCAAACCGAACAGATGAGAATTTGCATACTTATACTGGGTTATTCTTCCGCTACACAATTTAAATTTCCTAACAAACTCATTGTTTCTATTGCCAGGATATAAAGCATAAGTAGGTGCTCACAGACAGATGAGTGCTGCAGCTGTTGTAGACCTTAAAATGGCATTAGCCTCCGGTGCAGAGTGATTTTGTGCCAAACATTTTTGGCAGTAGCAGCACTGATCCTAGTGATATTCCCAGGGTGGAAGTTATTTCTTGTGATAGTGATAAAGAGGTATGCACGAAGGCTGAGTCACTGTCTGTCCCACAATATTATTTATACTGATCAGTATCTAATGTAGTATGGGAAACCTTGGGGTACTTTTAAAAAACACTTCTCCATAGCTCTTCAGAAATTTGGAATTTTTTGTGGTAATTTCAAACAAGCCTGCAGAAGACTCATGTTTCCCTCTACTTGTTTATTCATCTCACCCCCTCGCATTTCACAGCTCCACCCAAAGACAGATTACACCTTCTCAAACAATTCTCTTACTTCAGTCAATCATTCTAAAGACTCTCAACAGATAATAACCAAAGTTACTAGCTAGATAAAGCAGCACCCACTTTGAGATCTTCCCCCAAGAAAATGTGAGCTAGGGCTGTGGTTCTCAAAGCCAGTCCGCTGCTTGTTCAGGGAAAGCCCCTGGCGGGCCAGGCCGGGCCGGGCTGTTTACCTGCTGAGTCCGCAGGTTCGGCTGATTGCGGCTCCCACTGGCCGCGGTTCGCTGCTCCAGGCCAATGGGGGCTACGGGAAGCGGCACGGGCTGAGGGACGTGCTGGCCGCCCTTCCTGCAGCCCCCATTGGCCTGCAGCGGTGAACCGCGGCCAGTGGGAGCCACGATCGGCCAAACCTGCGGACACGGCAGGTAAACAAACCGTCCCGGCCCACCAGGAGCTTTCCCCGATCAAGCGGCGGACCAGCTTTGAGAACCACTGAGCTAGGGTACAGCTGGTGGAGTTACAAGATTAATATTTAAAAATTTGGATTTCCATATACTTTTACTTCAAAATATATTAGTAAATATATTTGTGATCTTAAAAAACAAAAACATTAATAAAATTTTGAAGTTCACCTTTATTCCCACTTATGTAGTTATCATGTAATAAACTGCAGACTGCATTCATTGTGCCCATATGCCTGACCTGCACTTTGTCTGCTAATCCATCTCCCCCTCCAGGAGAAACACTTAAAACGGTTTCAACTTAAACTTAAAATAGTTTCAAACGGCCATTAACTTTTATTTATTTATTCTTGCACAACTTGCCAGAGAAATATTTAATTTTTTCTTTCACACAGTCCTGAGTTCCAGGATTCCTTCCTGGTGGTTTCTGGAATTAAATGCTTTCAGAACCATCCAGTGAGAAATTGGGCAGCTCTCTCTCTGTTGCGAGTTGTCTGCAGATAAAAAGAGCTGGAGAACCACTGCTATACATCACTGGAAAAGGGGAGATTTCCCATTTTCTAAAAGGTATAGCATTTTTATTCTATCCTAAGCAGATGATAGATATCAACCTTGAATTCAATTGTGACATGATGATGTATGGGGAAACTATTTTAGGTAAATTTTTAGGTTTTGTAATAATTATGATTTTCCTCTCCTTCCAGGTCCTGTATTTTGACTCTTGGTATTAAGGATTTATTGGCAAAGGGATACACAAATATTTATTCTCAAACATTTCTGAAACAGATTTTCTGTAATAAGCGTGGCATATGCAGAATATATGATGTCCTTCATACTTCACTTATACCTGAATCACTTGCCATCCCGAACACATAGCCACAACATACCCTCAGACATTTCTTGTATATCTGCTGTTAATCTTACATAAAAGAACAAGGATTTCTTCTGTTTGAGTTAAAAAAATAATCTCAGTTAGTTTAAACCTCATATCAAGTAGTTTTATCCCATATTTCAATGGATACTTTAACGCAAATCAAAAGTTTCCTAAGAGGCTTTATTATGTCCTAAAGGCAAAACAGATGAGAAAATATTTCATGAAATCACTATAGTTAACCTCTGCAATCTCAAAAATAAAAATGTTCATTCTGTGCACATTTGAGAAACACGTATTAACAAGCAGGTAGGTAATGGAAGAGATTACTTCTGATCACTGTCACAAATCAGATTACTATGAAACTAAGTGGGCTTCAATGATTGTTCATGTCAGGAAACAAGAGATATAGCAGACCTTCATCTTCCACCCACTTACGTATCTCTAGGTGACTGATGGATTCTGTTGGCCAGGGAATATTTAACTATTATAAAAAGATACTAAAGACCCCCCCGTAATTTTCTCAAACTCCAGTTTACAACCCTGAGACTACAATAGCTGAGCCTGTTACTGTGAATTACTGCAGGGTTTTCATAAGGGGAGACTCCAGCTCAATAACTAGCTACTAAGCAGGAGAAAAAGTTCAAAAATAATTTATAAGGGGCCTAATCCAAAACCCACTGTAGTTAATGCAAGTCTTTCCATTGACTACAACGGGCTTTGATCAGGTCTCTGAATACCTTAGGAAATGAGAAGTTGGCAACATCCTTCTACCTCTGAAGCACAGATCTGAACAGAACTATGTCCTTCACTTGCATCCTGGCAGGTTCATTAAAAATATCGAAGTTTCACTTCCCTTCTACTAGAGCTTGTTCCCAAGAGCTGCTAAGCACATGAAACCCGCAATAAGTGAATGGGAGTTATGGGTGCCCGGCACCTCTCAGAAACTGGCTCATTACCTATCTCCCCAAAGCCTTCTGCTACATAGTTGTACAGATGGCATCTCAAATTCTGTCTGGGTCTTCTAGCCACTACTGTAATACAAACAACAATAATTCAGCAGGTCTGTCCATGCAATTTAAGAAGCCATAAAACCAAAAGAATCTATACCTGTTCAGGCCAAAGTTGGTAAAATGCCAAACACAGCAGAAACCTGAGTTAGGTCATGTGTAGGAGCATTACCCCATTAGGTGAGGTTTTTTACCTTTTGTCTATTTTTATTATCATAGTTGCTTGAGAACACTACACAAAAGGCACTAAAACAGCTTTTTGTATGTGCACTTTTAAATCTTGTCATTTTCATTTGGTAGAGAGATCACCAAAGCACAGGATCTCCCACTAAATGATACATTTTAATAAAACAACAGTTGGATACAATAGATAATAAAATTACTGTGGTCTCTTTAATCACCAAGTTGTATGTTGTGACATATTAACCTATAACTGAGAAGTATCAGAGCGGTAGTCGTGTTAGTCTGGATCTGAAAAGCAGCAAAGAGTCCTGTGGCACCTTCTAGACTAACAGAAGTATTGGAGCATGAGCTTTCATGGGTGAATACCCACCCATAAATCCAAAGAACTGGGTATGCACCCACAAAAGCTCATGCTCCAATATGCCTGTTAGTCTAGAAGGTGCCACAGGACTCTTTGCTGCTATAACTGAGAAGAGTCCCAATACCGTTTGTATACCCTGTAAACCACACTCTATAGTCACACAGTAAAAGATCTGGTAATATTTTAGGATCTGACGACGTTGCTTTCTCATCAGACAGAATTTTTTCATAAACTTTATTACCTGGCCATAGCTGGAGCAAATAATGAAGAACTTCTATGTGTTTTTTGAAGTCCAGGGCACTAGCGAGCTCTTCTGAATCTGTAAAGACTCTGTTATTATGGTTTGAGGTCTCCTGCCTCTGGCTCAGTAAGACAGGCCCAAAACACACAGCTAAATTCTGGCACGTCATCTTATTTACTTCATGATAAGACGCCACCAATTTCAGGTGATCCAGCAGCATCTTTAGGGTTGCCTAAAATGAAGAGTTAAGTTTCAGGTAACTAGATAAAGCAAAAATACAGTCCATTATCATCCTTTGGCTGTTGTTTAACAGTGCTATTTTCAAGGGTACTTGTCACATATTCTATAACACAATCACTGCAGTATCTAAGCACTGAACATCAAGTTGTATTGGACTCCATTACAGTGCAGGCTGGTTAAGACAGATGTCTTGGGTAAAAAATTTCTCTCTTACATGACCTCCGATCTATGTGTATAGATTTTCTTACAGTGAAAAGAGGACACCAGAGAAAGGAAAGAAACTGAAGAAGTAGCAGGGACACAAGAAGTCAGTCTGGCTTGATAAAAATAAAAATTGGCCTCTATCCAGTTTTTGGCCACCCAGGTCTGCCTTAAGTGGAAATGACTTATTAGAATTACGTCTTTTTCAGCATTCAAAATGCTTAGCTTCCAAAGATTCTTTTGCAAAGGGGCAGTGTCTTTCATTTAACATTAAGGACTAGCGTCTGGTGCTTTTACTCATATTGTCTAGCTCCTTACCCCAGTGCTAGTTCCACTAAACAAAGTGGGACTAGAAGAATACAATACTACTCAACATGCGTTATAGATGGCCGAATCTGGCCCTACATGAATTGAGAATTCTTTAAAACTGCTGGATTGTCAGCCATGGACACTCAAGTCCTTTGTACTACACCCCTTAGTTAGAAGAGCAACTTCTAGGAATAGTTGTAATCTTGAAGAAAAGGGCTTTGTTTATGAATGTGCAACCCCATAAACACCCCAATGAGGGGTTAGTATCTGCTCAAAATGTTCAAGGCTGCTCCTTTAATCTCTCCTGAAGAACACAGATCGTCAGGAAGAGAGAATGGTACCTCAGGCAATACATCACATACTCATAGGATGGGGTGGCCAAACTTACTAACCCGCCGAGCCGCATACGATATCTTCAGAAGTTTGAGAGCTGGGTGTGCCTGCCGTGGCTCAGGCTTCAGCCCGCAGGGAGGGGAGTGTTGGGGCTGAAGCCTTGAGCCCTGGCAGTCATGCCCCGTGGGGCTGAAGCCCCACCAACACGCCGCAGGGCAGAAGCCACAAGCTTCCCCCCAGCCCAGTGAGGTAGGTGGAGAATGGGGGAAGGTATATGGAGGGCCTCTGTGAGCTGCACTTTAACGTAAAAGAGCCGCATGCAGCTCAGCCACCCCTGCCATAGGATGTGCACCTCTGAGAGCAACGGTACTGTAATGTTATGTGTTAAACCGTAGGACCAAGAAGTTAAGCAGCCTTTGAACTATTAGAGAACAGAACAGATGTACAAACACAGAAGCAGGACCTGCTCCTTTCACCACCTCAAATGCAGTCCTCCTCGATGGAGAATAAGCATTCATTTCTGCAACACAGACTAGCTGCTGTCCATGGGATTATTTTATTTATTACTGAAGCATCCATCCTGAATTCTGGGCACTTTTCAACACAAAAGTGAAAAACCAACAAACAGCTGGCAATCAAATCAATAAAAATTTCTTAAAGGAACATTAATTCATCTTTTAAATTAAAGGTAATAAAATACTTAACAAGCACATTTGCTGGCTAAAAATTAAACATTTACTATGTTCTACTTTGCATAAAAGCAATTTGCTTGTCCCTTTACAGTATACACATTAAACAATCAAGTCAGTTCTCATTCTTTAGTTTTTCTGTTAATAACCTTTAACTTTTGCTCTTGTAAAATCTATTTATGCCAACATTAAACCAGGTTAAAGTTTTATTGCACTGTTGTTAATAATAAATAATAATAATAATTCAGCAAGAGGGATTTACAGAGTGCCTTTCAGACTGAATCCTCCCACAGCACTCCACAATCTATATACAGGGTTCACTTTGCCTGTCCAGGATATGCTGTTTGCAGTATTCTCTTGGATGGAACACGGCAGCTATTACACTACAACATATGGTAGCTTATAGTCCTATCTCATATGTTTAGAGGAGAAGAATGCAATTACTCAGGTAAGCATTGGCTAGGATACCCAGGATAACAAAAATGGCGATGGGACTTTAATACAGCTCATAGTCAGGATCTCCCTTTTAACAATTTTAAAAAATACCCTTATGCATTTTTAATTCCATTTTGTACACCGGAAGAGGTAAAACACACAAAGTACAAGTTAAACCCAGCAATACAGACCCTAAAGTAAAAGACAGCTTGAAAGTGTTATCTATCAAGTGGGTATTTGGGTTACAAATAGAAAACATAAGAACTCAGAGGCATTTATGTGTAGTCTAATAAAAAGAGTTCCTTCCCTTTCTGCAATTGGCGATTTATTATCATTTTAGCTGTCCAATAGTACTCACCTTTTCAACATCTGGCAGACAATCAAGAAGGGCCACCGTATGCTCAGAGTCACTTGGGTCATTTTCACAACCGCTCGCTGTCATTTTCAAGGGATTTTTCACCATGGCATCTAACACTGTTTCATACAACTGCTTAGTTATCAGGGGAGAGGGCAGCTCTCTTAGATAATCCTTGAGGACACCTTCACAAAAGAGACAGAAACAGATGCATTTAACAAGCTGCAGACTCTCACATTACAGAATTTCTTGAGAGTGGTAAGGCACATAACCTGCACTCCTCCTATAAGAGGATTGGCCAGGCTGTTTTCTACATCTTACATTTGCAGGGAGGAAATAAGAATAGACTAAAATCATATTATTTGGGGAGCTCCCAAAGGCTTGCATTACTGGGAGTGTCATTACCCGATGATGATATTTCATTCCTTCATAATATTTTGGGGCTCTGGAAACTTTTTCAAGTATGCTTATAGCACTATTAGTACTAGACTTACCGCAGACCTCTCTCTCTTTTATATTTACTGTAGTATCTAAGCCAGGTGTGGGCAAACTACGGCCTGCAAGTTGGATGCTGCCCACCAGCTGTTTTAATCTGGCCCTTGAGCTCCTCCTGGAGAGCAGGGTCTGGGGCTTGCCCCGTGCCAGCTGGGGAGCAGAGTTGGGGGCTGCGCCACGCAGCTCCCAGAAGTAACATCATGCTCCCTCTCCCCCCAGCTCCCACACTTAGAGGCAGCCAGGGGCCTCCGCTCTGCATGCTGCCCCAGTGCCAAGCACTGCCCCCACAGCTCCCATTGGCCAGGAACAGCAGCCAATGGGAGCTGCAGGGGCAGTGCCTGCGGACAGGGAAGCATGTAGAGCTGCCTGGCCGTGCGCAGAGCCATCTGGCCATGCCTCGGCATAGGAGCTGGAGGGGGGACATTCCACTACTTCTGGGAGCCACTTGAGGTAAGTGCCGCCCACTTACCACTTGAGGTAAGCCTGCACCCCTGAGCCTCTCCCTGCGCCCCAACCCCCTGCCCCAGCCCCGATCCCCGTCCTACACTCTGAATCCCTCAATCCCAGCCTGGAGCACTCTCCTGCACCCCAAACTCCTCATCCCCAGCCCCACCCCAGAGCCCACACCCCTGCCCTTCACCCAACTCTGCTGCCCCAGCCTGGAGCCCCCTCCCGCACCCTGAACTCCTTATTTCTGGCACCACCCCAGAGCCTGCATCCCCAACCAGAGCCCTGACCCCCTCCGGCACCGCAACCCCAATTTTGTGAGCAATCATGGCCCGCCATACAATTTCTATTCCCAGATGTGGCCCTCAGGCCAAAAGGTTTGCCCACCCCTGATCTAAGCTCTTCGCAATCTTTAAATGAAGATCTCTTCACAACAGCCCTGAGAGGTAGGAAAATACAGATGTGGAATAGATGAAGCTGCAGCATCCCAGACTTTAGCATGGGCTGTACAGCCCTGTCCGGAACCCTGGGTAATTACCCAGGTGGCTAGCTAGGTTAAATCACAGCCTGTGGTTGCAGTGTACACATACCCTCAGTGATTTGCCCAGGAAGTTTGTGGCAGAGCAAGAATTAAACCCAGGTCTCCCAAGCCAGTCCCCATCCATTGAACTATCCTTCCTCTATTTTTGCACTGCCAGTATACAGAGCACTTTAGAAACTGCCTATGTTGTGCACAGTAGGTGCAGTAATGACTGCTAACATGAGAGCATTTTTCTTCTCCATGATAAAAATCTCTCCAGTTCTAACAGGTCACAAATGCATTCCACCAAAACTTGTCATACGCAATTCATACTAGTATAAAATTCACACACAAGAATGAAGATTAATTGCTTTATTCTGAATCAGAGCTCTCTTTCTCAGACATTTTCATAGTCCAGGTCACACTAAAAAATTGAAAACACCTTAAATACCCCCATTAATGACAGAACTCTAGCTGCACCAGAATGAGTTATATTTCTTTCTCAATACAGGATTATTCATACAAACAATGCTTCTCATTGGTGTTCAGTGCAAGTTTACAAGTTCATCAGAATTGGGAGTCTGCCCCCACTGGGGTAAGATTGCTCTCTTGCTCTTCCCCAGTCCCTTTTGTTCTGCTCCACGCTACTTGCTGGCTCTGCTGCATGACAGTGCAATAGAGCCTTTGTTAGGCTCTCAACAGTGCTATTTATTACACCAGCTCCTCTGCGTTGGTGGTTCTACCACCTTCTGTAAAAGACTCTGTCCTTCCAGAACAAAAGCAGTGCAGTACTACTGTCTAGCATTATTCACAGCCAGAATACCAAGAAAGAAAATAGAATAAAAGTTCTTAATTACTCGAATAACTACTTTGCATTAACTTACACTGAGGCCCACAGACAGTGTTTTATCCAGGTGAAGGCACCAGAGGATGCCTGACATATGAAAGGTGCTTGGTACTCCCAGAGGAAAGATGTATGTATGGGGTGGGCACATGCACACATGGAAACGGTATGCTATCAGTGATCTCATCCACAGCTCTCTCAAGGGTAAGTTGGAGAATGTCACTTCGGGATCCTGCCATTTACAAGAAGTAGGGGAGGAGCAGAAAAGAAGCTGCTAGTAGCCTTCCCACACATCTGCTGTCTCAGGAAAGGGAAGGGAGAGTTACAGTAACTAGGAATGACCTAAATCTCTCTGCTACACCAAAGCCTAGTGACACATGGCTTCATGTGTGCCTGGTGATTAATTCCTTTCCTAGTCATCTCATTGTTTCTTATTATGGTTTATAAAATATGCCTGATTGTCAAGTATCACTAGAAGGCCATGCTCTGTGTATTAACACTAATCCAAAGTAGTAAAGAGTAGCCAATCCCTCAAACAAAAACATCAACCCCACCCAACGTCCCACTTTCTAACCACCTGGAGCACTTGCAGCTGCTGCACTAGTCAATAAGTAGATCAATGGTCACAGAATGATACGGCTACAAGCAGCCATTCCCATTCATTGACATTTCCACTCATCACCTCTTTGGCAACTATATGTCCAAGCCCAAGAAGTGCAGAACTCCTGCAACTCTCACTAAACATAAGAATGTATCAAGATCACAGGGCTTGTCTACACTAAGCAGCTTTTAGCGACAAGGCTGTGTCAACCTTTGGAGACCGCAGTAGGGAAAACACTGCCGTGTGTTTACACTGTCAGCTGCAAGCGCACTGACATGGCCACATTACAGCTCTTGCAACGCCACAAAGAGCAATGCATTGTGGTAGCTATCCCAGTGTGCAAGTGGCTGCAACATGCTTTTCAAATGGGGGGGGGTGGAGTATGTATGTGGGGGGAGAGAAAGTGTGGTTTGGGGGGCTGAAAGTGTGTTAGCATGCTGCCTTGTAAGTTCAGACAGCAGCATAGCCTCCCCGCCCCCACCCCCACACAACAGCAGCATTCTACACTAATGGTTTGCTTTGTCCTGGAGCAGATAAGCATGCCGGCTGTCAGAAACGGAGCTTTGAAAGGGGATATCTGCATGCCTGCAGCCAATTTCAAAACCACGAGAAGAGTGACCACTTGACTTCAGGGGATTATGGGACATTTCCGGAGGCCAGTCACAGCACAGTAACGCAACACCTCGCCCACACTGATGCCTGGGCGTTTCAGCCAGGGCGTAGCAAGCTTTATGCTTCTCAAGGAGATGGATTACCAGGAGCGCTCCAGCTGCAGAGTACAGACACTCTACGTGCCTTTTCAGTGTGGACACACCGGGAGTTAGGGCGCTTGGGCTGCTTTAATGAGCTCTATCTTGCAAGTGTAGCCAAGACCATGCAGGACATGCAGATGACCATTTATAAAAGTAATTTTGGAAAGGATTGGGGTAGAGAGGGAGGAGGAAAGGAGAAGAGAAATGTGATTCTGTGGGATGCCAACAGCCAGGAAGCATTTCACTACACCTGCTTCTCTATGAGCCTCGCCATCTGTCTAAAATAGAATCGAGGGCAAGGGCAGCGGGGGAGTGGGTGCGGGGAGTTAACCTCAGCAATTGCAAATTTTTGTAAACAGGTCTAAACTCCTGGCTAATACTTCAAGATGATTATTATTTCAATTGCTTACAGAAAAAACAAGAGCACTAATCATAGCCACTTGGAAACAACACACACATGCCTGGTATCTAGAAGCAAAAAAACAAAACAAAACAAAAAAACCCCCCACAGAATTACAAAAACAAAGAAACCACCTAAAGATATGTAGGTTTTACTTCTCTCTCCACCCTACCTCTTTTACCACTCTCATTTAAAAAAATAAATAAAAAAATCAATCTCTGTGCTACAAAATGTCCAAGCACAGTATATCATGCAAACAACCACTTTAATTAAGATACAACTCAGTTAAACCTATTATAATCTGATATTTCATTTTAGTTAAAACTCCTTTTCATAAAATGTTACCATAATTAACCTAATAAATGCAGCCTCCACTTTGGTTAGTGGCAGCACCTGGCATGAGAGAGCTGGAAGCAGGAAATAGAGAGGTATAATTTTAAAGTATCTGCCAAACATAGGACATGTCACTCCCCAAACCAGGACAGAAATACCATCACTTTTGTGTTCTTTAACAAAGCCAGAGTTGTTACAAATCTCAATGCAAAGCCTGCTCTATGAGCCAGCTGTAAAGTAAACTGTGTCACTAAATATTTTGTTAAAAATTAATTTCGCATAAATACAGAGAGTGGGGAGATTTAGTTTTTCCTCCTTAGATGGTCTTCATATGTGGAATATAACTATTACAACTATTATCAATCTTTGTTCTTATTTCTTTGAAAGAAAAGTAAAAAAGGAAAATGTACTGCATTGAAACAATTTTAAGAAAGAACAGTCAAAATTGTAGCAAGTCAGAAAATGTGAAAGCAAAGATTCCAGGAGCAACATTAATTCGCCCCCCATTACACAAGTGTACTATTTCCTAGTCCTACTTTGCTGATTAGTGCAACATGGCCAAATTAACGCTGCCGTTGAAAGCACAGCTGATTTGTTCCAGCTTTAGCTGTATAACTTTATCAGGGCATTAATAGTTTTTAACATTAACTCTCCAAGGTTTTTAAAGCCTATAAATAAGAAAGAAGTAAGAAAAGAAAGAACGGGCAGAGGAAAAAACGGGGGGGAATCTAGAGCCTTTCAGTTTGAGAAGATTATAAACTCCTTGAGACAAACAGTCCACACTTGAAGCCAAGTTCTGCTCTTGTTGAAACCAATGTGAATTTCAAAATTTACATCAACAGGAGCAGGCTCTTACCCACAGACATGCTAAATGGGTGTGCATTCCTCAGACATGCATCTAAGTTTAAGTGCACACTTCCTAACTGAAAGAAATATTATATCATGCACACTCAGTACACACTATTCAACCCAACGTATATTTAAATCAAAATTTTTACTCTTTCTTTACATTTGTAAACACATGTCCTTTCAAGGATCCATCTCAAGATTCAGATGACAGCTTTTTTATTGCATGGTCCTCTTCAAAAAGCAAGGCTGTTATATATTCCTGTTTTTATATATATATGTGTGTGTGTGTGTGCTGTCAAGCAATTAAAAATTAATAGCGATTAATCACACTGTTAAACAATAACTGAATGCCATTTATTTAAATATTTTTGGATGTTTTCTACATTTTCAAATATATTGATTTCAATTATAACAGAACACAAAATATACAGTGCTCACTTTATATTTATTTTTTATTACAAATACTTGCACAGTAAAAAACAAAAGAAATAGGATTTTTCAATTCACCTAATACAATATAGTCCATAGTCACGGGACCAACCTCTCCCTCTCCCCTCCCCTATTCCTGAATAACAGAATAGTTTTGAGCCATGGAGTGCCCTTTGACCTCTCAATCCTTTTGCTGTTCCCTTTGCTAAATTAGCCCTGTAAGAGGCTGCAGTTATTTTTATGAATCTAAGCTATGCTCTCCTGACTGCCAGCTCACTGCTGCTTTCTCCTTCACACAACCACTCACCACACAGAACAAATTTAGACAGCAAGCAGAAACCACCATCCACTTCATTAATTTCTCATTTTTCTGATCCACTGAACTGTTAACTGTATTACATGCTTTACTCAGAGATGTGAATTCACATGGATGGAAGCAGACATGATGCAACAACATTACTACTGGCTAGTTCCTAAAACTGGCAGCCCATTTTATTTTGAGCCACGAGCGCATTTAATTGCGTGTAAGCCAGTGCCAGCCTCAAGAGCATTTCTTCGTCAAATTTAATAATTAAATGTTCATTCCTTAGGCTTTGGAGAACTGTCAAAAGAAAATATCTTCATAATGTTTTGAAAACAACAGTGCTCCTCAAATTTCAATATGGGCCCATATAAAGCACTAGTCTTCAAAAAGAGCTAAGATTTAAGATTATTCATATTTTAGGGAACACATGATTTGGCTTATTGAGAAACCTGTTCTTCATCAACAAAGAGATAATGTAGGTGAATATGCACTAACAGATACTTACAAATAAGGATGGAAAAGTATGCATGATGCCTCTGATATGTCAGCAGGCATTAGAGGTTCATCAAAGACTGAACTGTTTAGATTGTAACCAGTGATAGAACTGGCTACAGTTTGGGGAAGGTAACTAGTTCAGTGTGCAGACACATACAGCAACCCTGCCAACTGTTAGAGAACCAGTGCATCGCGAGTCTCAGAACTGCACAGTTGAAGAGGTGCTGTAGCAAATAGTTTTTTAAATGCGATTCCTTAAAATATGCTTTTTCTTCAGAAACAAAGCAGCATACATTTTATAATGTATAAAGAAGCATATCTGATTCTTCCTTAAAAACAAAGATATCAAAACTGTATGCCTTATACCTTATAAAAATAAAAGTCAAATGCAAAAAATTAAGAAGCTGCAGTAGTTCACAACAAGAAGTCAGGAGTACAGGAGACCCTGCACATTCAAACAGATGTAGCTTAACAATCAAGAACAACAAAAGCATGCACCAATGTATTTTGCAAAATTAAAGTGATCTTTTGTATTTATCCACAGTATTGTGGGATTGTGCTGGAAGGACCAGACTAGTGCAGCTGCAACACCGGGGCTTTCTTTCTACACTTAGCACTATCCCAGGTCAAACCTAAGCTTAAATCAATTATAAGAAATACTTGAAGTAGTGAGGTGCACAGGTAACTGGAATGCTATGAAATATTTAGGGTTGTCAACTTTGGTTGGACATATTCCTCGTAATTTCATCACATGACATAATCTTTAATTAAAGATTAATCTTTAATTCCTGTAGACTCCAGGACAATCCTGGAGGGTTGGCAACCCTAGAAATATTACTAGTTTTTCTGGGTGTGGATATGAACTGTTTCATAAGTCTTCCATGTGTCTGAATTGCTTCTGTAATTGCTGAAGGTTTATAGTATAATAAGGCTTTATATTAAGGTGCGAGATGCTATTTCAATTTTTTATTGAGCCAAAACTTGTCTTAGCAGTACATCTGTTTGGCCATTACTTAGTTACAGCCCACTATTAAGCTGTTGGTTTCTGATGTTTGACATAATTAAACTCTTGTTTCTATGAGTTAATTCACAAACCTAAGCAACAACAGTCATCTACATTTCCAGTGCTTGCTTACAATGATCAAGAGCAACACAGGACCATAAACTCTTGTTGAAAGAAACTGGATATGAAACTGGTCCTAAGAATTATCATCACTTTTTTCTTGTGAATTTATTAAAAGAAGTTAAATCAAAGAATATTTTAAAAGATCTTGATGAGTGTTCATTGTGCAACCTTTCAAAATAAAGAATATATAATTAAATCCAGTATCCTGCCTCTGGGAATAGCCAGTAACTGGCAAAAACCAACAATGAAACTAGCCAAGTAAACAGTAAATAGGGTTGGTCAAATTCTATTCTGCAAAGATATTATTTAGCAAACACCATAAAATTAATTGCATAAAATCTGCTGATAAAGTTTTTCTTCTACTCACCCATCCTTAGCAGTAAGTTACTTTTTTTAAATATGCATAAAATCGAAAGTTGACTGACAATATGTTGGAAATTAAAGTACCAACAATTAAATAACACAACTGTTATTTCTTTACAAGTGACAGAGGATGTTGTAGCCCAGCAAAATTTCCACCAGGGCTACCACATGCTGAGTAAATTTTCAAGCCCTGAATGTATATGAAGGAAAAATTCCATTCCAATTTCTGCAGGCAATCAATTTATACCATGAAGCTTGAAAATAGATTAATATTTGTTATGTAAAATAAGGTTAGTCATAAAATTATTCCACCTTTTAAAAAAAACAAAGATTCCTACTACTAAATGTTACAGGTGAAATGCACAGTATATACCACAAAACATTCTGGTTTATTTCCAGAAGGCTATCCAAACTAAGACTCTCATCATAAAAATTGTCTCAATTCTCCAAACCCTTACCAGTAATCCCACTGAGTGGCAGGAATATGAACTACACAGACAGATAAGACTTTAGATAAATTCAGCCCCAAATTAATTTTCTATAAATGACCAACAAAAAAAAGTATGCATATGATCAGGTTAATAGATAATTATTTCCCACTGCACACCTTGAATTTCTATGCACTATTCACTAATCTAGCTCCCACATAAGTCAATGAAAGTTTTGCTATTGGCTTAAATGGCAGCAGGATCTGGCTCTAAGGACCCAATTCTACAAGGCCTTATGGACGTGCGTAACTTTCTGTATTGTGAGTAGTCCCATTGAAGCCAATGGAATTATTTGTAAAATTAGCACAAGGACTGGGGCCTAAGCTCGTAAATAAGACCAGTTTCTTTGTACTCTCCCGTTTGGCTATATCCACATGCTGTCTCTTCTCTTAAGATTATAGGATATTGGGAGCAGGGACTGAGTTTTTGTTCTGTGTTTGTACAGCATCTAGCCCAATGGGGTACTGGTCACGACTAAGTCTCCCAGGAGCTATCACAATACAAAGAATAAATAATCTTAAAGGTTTGGCACACCACGGAGACCTTCATTCACTTCAAACCCCTATCCACAACTCATTACACTGTTTCTCTATCACTGGCACATCTCATTTTTACATGACAAAAGTTAGGATTCATCTTCCCTTTCTTGTTCAGCAAAACGAAGTGTAGCTAATGGATTTGTCTGTGTGACTCTCCAATGAGCCATTTTAAAGCACAATTTTCTTTATTTAGATAGAGATTTCTCATAGTTATATATTAAAAACAAAAGTAAGTGCATTACCTGTTATCACATTAATATCTGGGTATTGGTTTTCACAGAGAGTAACAGCCTTGCTATCCCTCTCAAACGCCTCTCGAAGCTCTTTCTTGACTGCTGCTGAACCACATAATCGGTACAGGCCTACAACCTAGAAGTAAAATCATGGCCACACTGTGACATATTACCCATTACAGAGCACTAAGTAGTGCTACTCAGATAACTGGCATGAAAAGAATGAGATGTTTTACAATGTCTTCTGTTAAGGATGAAAAAATGCTCACACCCAAAAACTTACTTAAGTAAAAAACAAAAGCATATGGCAAAATCTTTTAACGTCAAACAGCAACATGTTATCAATACTGTACAATGTCCTCAGTCTGGGTTATAATAGTAAACAAATAATACTGTTCTCTACAATACTGAAACTCAATCTCTTATCAGTTTGTTTCTATGGATGCAGCTAATATCCACAGCCACACATATTGAACCATTATGTCTTTGACAGAAAGTGATTTTTATTAAGCTATTGGTTTATCATTGAGTCACTCAGGAAGAGCACAAAAAGGTTTCCATGTACCCATAGCAGATGCTAGCAATGTTCTGTTTAAGAATAAATGTTTTAATAAACTCTGATAAAAAGTTGCAGAACTTAGTGTTAAATATTAGTGTAAAGCAAACAACTCCCTCCCCAAAAGACTATTCATTGTTACACACCCACACACAAACCCTTTTTATTGACAAGGAATGGGAATAATGTCCTAATCAACTTCACTGATTTTTATAATAATTTGTAAAGGAGAACTAGAACATAAACTGTAATACAAAATGGAAAAAAATTATCAAGTCTTTACATTAATCTAAGTGCTCTTTGCTGCTCACTTTCTAGTGGCTTCTTTAAAAAAAACAACTTCCACGCTCATTTTCTTCTGTTGTGATACACAAACTAGAACTCTGATCACATTTACTCTTTATAACCACTGATGAGTGGGTGTAATCTCAATGAATAATGCAAAGTTGTGCAGGTGAAACTGCAACCCTCTTGCTACTCTGCTTGTTCAGCTCACCGCTTTTGTGCTAGTGTAACTGTTTAATTCCCAATACGTTAACTCCTTTGAGTGTAAGCAGAAAATAATTTGGATTAGAAAATTGGCCTTGGACTTTGTAAGGTAATTCTACAGATATTAGTCTATTGATGATTAATAGGCCCTTCAGTAAACAAGCTTCGTACCTGTGAAACACGGCCACAGATTATGCACATTAAGAAACAAGGATATGCTGTAAATCAATTTACAAAGAAATTATTTTGATTTTATTTTGTTAAGTGAGTAATTTAGTATTGACACACTTGCTTTCACAGCAGTTAACTATATCATTACCCATATTTAATTATATTTGATATCATATCCACTGGGATATCAAGAGACAACAAATGTACTCTAGCATCAGGTAACCAAGAAACAAATTTGAGAAGTGTTAAGATATTACGCCAACATATACATTGTTTCAAGTTACATGAACACTTTTATACAAAGCAGGAGGTTATATTTCCTAAAGTTATCTAACACATTCAGGTACATGGGAACGGTATCTATACACGATTATCATGCATCGAAGAGTACTTGGCGCATATACTTCTACCCGCTCTAACTTGATATATTTATCATTTTAAAAACAACTTTGTATTTTGGTAACACCCATTCTCCATACACTTCTCAAACATTAAAGAACTAAACCTAAAACCACCTCTAAGAGTGAGAGAGTTATTTTGATCCTTAAGTATCAGAGGGGTAGCCGTGTTAGTCTGAATCTGTAAAAAGTAACAGAGGGTCCTGTGGCACCTTTAAGACTTCTGTTAGTCTTAAAGGTGCCACAGGACCCTCTGTTACATTTTGATCCTTATTTTACTGACTGGTAAACTGACTTGTTTACCTGAACTGGCCGTGGTTCGCTGCTCCAGGGCAACGGGAGCTGCTGGAAGCGGCACAGGCCGAGGGACATACTGGCTGCCATTTCCAGCAGCTCCCATTGGCCTGGAGCGGCGAACTGCGGCCACTGGGAGCCGCGATCGGCAAACCGGCGGACGGGGCAGGTAAACTGGCCCGACCTGCCCGGGGCTTTCCCTACGCAAGCGGTGTCCCAAGTTTGGGAAACACTGCTCTAAGGCTACAGAGTGAGTCATGAGCAGAGCAGAGACTAGAACCCAGGAGTCCTATATTATATATGATGGCTTATAAAAAGGGGCATTTGTTTGACCATATGCTAATGGTCAAATAAGTTACCTGGATCCAAGGCTCACTGATGTACATGAAGAGTTAAGAAATGAAGGCAATGGATGTTACAG